CTATTGAGTCTGCCCTCGAGCACATCCTGGCCAGGCTTCCCCCGCCAGTACCAAACCCTACCCCTACCTCTGAACGGAGCGTGGTTGTTGAATCAGTTGACACTGACTTATTGTCCACAAGAGCCTCCCATTCTTATGACACAGACTATGAGCACTCTGATGATGATTATGATGCTGTGTACCACAGCTCTAGCATCGTCCAGTCCCAGTGACGGTCGACCAGAAAATATCCTTGTCTGAAATCTTTGAGAGGGCAAGCAGAAACCTCAATGTGGAGAATGCACCTACTGCCATGGCATCAACATCCAAGTTTGATGAATTCAATTCTTCAAAGACTGAGACACCCATCCCGTCATTCAGACTTCATGCGTGAGCTCCAATGCACTTGGAGCACACCAAATGACAGAACCCCCGCCATGCCAAGCATATGCACTTGCTTAGCTACAGTTCATGGTGCAGATGAAGATGGTTTTGGCCATTTCCCCCGTATGGACAAATAATTTGCTTTGCTTGTTCTACCTGCTTTTCTCCGTCACAGTTCAGACCAAGAGCTGCCTAACAAACGATGCAGGGTATCTGATTGCTTCCTACGCAGGACATATGACAGCACCTCTTCAGCCGCTAGGCGTAGCAATTCAGCAGCAATACTGGCCTTCTATCAAAAGGAGCTGCAGGCACGCCACTCCGCAAACTATGATGCTGAGACCATGAAAGAACTATCTACAGTTAGACCTGGTTGGGAAATCGTTGGCAACACTGTATTCCATGCTATGATGGCTCTATATAATACTGAACACTTTCATGAATTTGTTCTGGATTTGGGGACTGTGAAAAGACCCCTGGTGGTTATGTCTGGTGGGGTAAGTGTGTGTGTCAGAGCTGTGTTAAAGTTGACTATGCAAACAATTTGGGATTTTCAACACATTAATATTTCTTATAAAAAGAAGAAGTGATGCAGTCAGTCTCTCCTCGACTCTTAGCCAAGAGCTGGCATGCATAGTATTTATTTCAGCCGTCTGATTACAATGAAGAGCAAGACTAGCAGAAAATTGATTTAAGGCAGTGCTTCAGCCAAATCCAGCATTCTTACCTAAGGTGCTTTCATCACCACATGCTAACCAGCCCTTAATCATAGGGACATTTCACCCGCCTCCCCACTGCTCACAGGAGAGTCGTGAGTTGCATACACTTTGACCGGTTAGGGCGTTGAGTGCCTATCTTGCTGCAACAAGAACTGTTCGTCAAACAGAACAGCTTTGTGTGTGTTATGGGGAGTGTAAACATCAAAGGTCTTGAAGCAGAGACTGGCACATTGGATTACCAATGCAGTGTCAAAATCATACGCTGCAGCAGGTAGACCAACACCAGACCACGTGGTAGCACATTCCACCAGGGGTATGGCCACTTCATGGGCCCTGTTCAGAGGGGCCTCCCTGGACTGTATCTGTGTTGCTGCAAGTTGGGCAACACCCATGACTTTGATAAGGTTCTACAGACTTAATGTTATGTCCACACCATCAGTGGGGTCTGTGGTTCTGGACACGGCATGCTCTCTCAACCCAGATAAGTGAGCATACTGTGAACCTTGTACATACTTACTTATCAACCATCAGTGAGATGGATGTTCTATACAGAGGCCTTCCACTCTTGGTGCTGTTGCACCCAATTGAAGCCTCATGTTGTACGTTCTAGCTTTCAGCTTGCTTGTGTATACGGTTGTATACCACAGTTGAAAATCTGTGTTACCATGTTGGGTAATTATATTCTGTTGCATACAAGTACGTCTGGTGAGTTATCCCAATTTGTTGTCCGAACAACATCTTTGGTACATCCTCTCCCACAGCCTCTCCCACCCGTTACAAAAACAAAAGAGAACGTTGGGTTATGGATGTAACTTTGGTTCTCTGAGTAGAGTAACGGGTCGCCAAGCTTTCATGTCGTTCCTCCACCTCTTTGGGGTTCAAGTGAAGTAATAGACATTGTCACAACACACCACCTTTTATATATAGTGACAGGTCACGTGGGTACAGTAAAGGTGTGGCGTGATTGTAAACATCTTTGATATTAAACATCTCAATCACATCGCGTGAAGGGGAAGGAGTTCCCATAGGTTGTTTGGCGACCCGTTACTCTACTCAGAGAACCAAGGTTACATCCGTAACCCAATGTTTTTTGGACAAGGAGGTTCATTTGGGAGATCCTTTTTTACTGTTGAGGACTGTGAAGAGAGCAATGGGAAAGGTGGATTAAATCAAGGTGACTAGAAGCGGCCTTGTTTTGGTTAATTGTGTAAATGAAGAACAGAAGAAGCGTGCACTGGATCTGGCAAAATTCCCCACGTCGGAACTGACCTTCATTGATATTCAGAGCAGGGTACCTGCTAAAAGAGTTATATCTGGAGTCTCGTTAGATATACAGTACCAGTAAAAAGTTTGGATACACCTACTCATTCAAGGGTTTTTCTTTCTTTTTGAAATGTTTTACATTGTAGAATAATAGTGAAGACATCAAAACTATGAAATAACACATATGGAATCATGTAGTAACGAAAAAAGTGTTCAACAAATCAAAATATATTTTATATTTGAGATTCTTCAAATAGCCACCCTTTGCCTTGATGACAGCTTTGCACACTCTTGGCATTCTCTCAACCAGCTTCATGAGGTAGTCACCTGAATCCATTTCAATTAACAGGTGTGCCTTCTTAGAAGTTAATTTGTATAATTTATTTCCTTCTTAATGCGTTTGAGCCAATCAGTTGTTTTGTGACAAGGTAGGGGGGGTATACAGAATATAGCCCTATTTGGTAAAAGACCAAGTCCATATTATGGCAAGAATCATTACTTTAAGACATGAAGGTCAGTTAATACGGAACATTTTCAAGAACTTTGAAAATTTCTTCAAGTGCAGTCGCAAGAACCATCAAGCGCTATGATGAAACTGGCTCCCAAGAGGACCACCACAGGAAACGAAGACCCAGAGTTACCTCTGCTGCAGAGGATAAGTTCATTAGAGTTACCAGCCTCAGAAATTGCAGCCCAAATAAATGCTTTACAGAGTTCAAGTAATAAACACATCTCAACATCAACTGTTCAGAGGGGACTGTGTGAATCAGGCCTTCATGGTCGAATTGCTGCAAAGAAACCACTACTAAAGGACACACGAAATGGGCCAAGACACACGAAATGTGTCCTTTGGTCTGGAGTCCAAATGGGCGATTTTTGGTTCCAACCGCTGTGTCTTTGTGAGATGCGGTGTGGGTGAACGGATGATCTCCGCATGTGTAGATCCCACCGTAAAGCATGGAGGAGGAGGTGTTATGGTGTGGGGGTGCTTTGCTGGTGACACTGTCTGTGATTTATTTAGAATTCAAGGCACACTTAACCAGCATGGCTACCACAGCATTCTGCAGCGATACACCATCCCATCTGGTTTGGGCTTAGTGGTAGCCAACACACCTCCAGGCTGTGTAAGGGCTATTTTACCAAGAAGGAGAGTGATGGAGTGCTGCATCAGATGACCTGGCCTCCACAATCCCCCGACCTCAACCCAATTGAGATGGTTTGGGATGAGTCGGACGGCAGAGTGAAGGAAAAGCAGCCAACAAGTGCTTAGCATATGTGGGAACTCCTTCAAGACTGTTGGAATAGCATTCCAGGTGAAGCTGGTTGAGAGAATGCCAAGAGTGTGCAAAGCTGTCATCAAGACAAAGGGTGGCTATTTGAAGAATCTAAAATATAAAATATATTTTGATTTGTTGAACGCTTTTTGGTTAATACATGGTTCCATATATGTTATTTCATAGTTTTGATGTCTTCACTATTATTCTACAATGTAAAAAATAGTAAAAATAAATAAAAATCCTTGAATAAGTAGGTGTGTCCAAACTTTTGACTGGTACTGTAGATGACGAGTAGGCCTACCTTATTCAGAAAATCCCAGGAGTGGTCAGTGCACATCGCCTGACCCATATTGTAAATGGAAAGAAGGAGAAAAGCCTATGGATATTATTCTTGTTTGAGGAGACTGTACCTGCGCATGTGAAGCTTGGATATGTGAGGTATGCGGAGAGAGCATTTGTGTCCAAACCCCTACAGTGGCCACGTGTCAATTGTTGGCAGACGGGACAAGTATGTTATTGAAAAATCTGTGAAGGGAAAATGTTGCAACTGTGGTGGGGATCGTACTCCGGACTTCCTTGAGTGCCCTTTTAGGGTGAAAGAGGTCAAGGTGTCAAGGATCTGGGTTGTACAGCAGATCTCCTATGTGGTGGCGGTGAAGAGAGACAAAGGGGCAAGAGGCCATTGTGCTGAAGAAGATATGGTGGTGGATGCACCACAACCAGTTGCAAATGTTTTTACGTCAATCAAGAGATCTGGATACACTCACTGTGAAGGTGAATTTTGTAGCATTTATAGCCAGAGTTATTATTTGTACTGTACATCATTGTATCTGCAGCCGAAACGTTTTTGGGGCTCCAAGACTTCACGGCAGAAGCACTATACTGTCGTCAGAAAATGTCCCACCCTCACAGGATCCTTCTGAGCCTGTGTAGGGACCTGATTCGAATTTTGGATTTTAACTGAAAAGCATGTTGATTTAGCCTAGTTTAACTCTCTTTTTGATGGTTTGTATGAATATTTTTACCCCGCATAATTTCATTTTGGAGTCTTTGTTATCCACCTGCACAGTAGGTGGCGGAATGCACATCCAATTGTTGCAAACGCCATTATACCAGAGAAGAAGATGCCTGGCTGGAGTGAGGCGCGCAAGGGACGACACCAAGTAGACATATTCTAGTCACAAGTATCGTCGATTTTGCTCGTGTTATGGAAAAACTTAAACTTCATCTAAGAAATGTGTTACCTGAATGCTTTTGTCCTTTACAATGGATTCACCTGCTGCAGTTTTTCAACGGTGGCTTAGCTCGATAGTTTAAAAAACGAGTTTGATTGCCAGGATTATTTATGCAATATAGCTGCTGTGACGAAGAAATTAGCTAGCTAGTAACGTTAGCTAGCTAACCTTGGTTCTTGTTAGCTAGGTAACGGGCTAATAAGGAATTATTTTTGCAATTTTTGTTGGCTAGCTCGTACCTAGCCGGATAAACTATCCAGAACTGGGGACCACAATCCAAAAAGTCAAGGAAAGTCGCTTGTCGTCGAAGAGTTGTTGACTCCTCCGTTCTCGGCTGGGTGTCCCACACACAGACAGTTTACAGTCAAGCCGGGAGTAAAGCACTGCCGCTGCTCGCTACCTGCCTGGTAGCTACCACCACAACGGGCCTTGTTGCTGAGGCGACAATGCTTGAAATAATGTCTGAACACCAAGGTACGTTAAGTGTCAGTTCACATAGTAAATTGATCTAGAGTTGCTTTCTAGATAGCGGACATTGTCGGTTTTGTTTAAGCCTCCCACAGTAAAGCAACTGTTGGTTGTTCATTCGCAATGTTAGTTGGCTAACGTTAGCTAATACTTCGCTATGGTTAACTAACATCAACTGGCAGCTAGCTAGATTGACTTAATCTGCATCAAACAGTCGACAACGCAAATTAGCTTGCAGAGTGATAAACTTTGCGATTTTATGCAGTAACGACAACTAGCTAGATAGCGTAGCTAGCTAACGTTTGCTTGTTAACCATGCCATTGATGTGGCTAATGTAAAATAACCGCTGGCAAGCTAACGGTAACTAGCTAGCAAGCCTAACATTAGTTCTAACAAAATGGGGCATAATGACGGTTGCTTTGCCAGTCAACTAACCTGCATTCAACAGCTAACTACCAGTGTTTGTTTGTTAGTTAGATTGCTACAGTAACTAGTAAGTTAACGTTAGTAAGCTAACTACTTAGCTAGCTGTTGCTAGCCAAGTTCAAAATTCGGGGTTGAGCCGGCTCCTCACGCCAGCCCAGCCGGGCGGTGAGCTGCTAACGCTGGCTCACAATGCATGGATGGCATGGTTCAAGTTTGTTCGCTAACGTTATCTAACATACTGTAGCCAGACAGCTAGTTACAACTCAACATTTTCACCACCAAGCACCAGTCTTAACTTTGTCTTTGCATCCCCAGTTAACAGTTATTGACCCGTTGTGAACATATAAAGACAAGGCTGACTAACGGCGTTACTGGCGAGCAGGGCAGGCATTCACTCGTTTAAGACAACTAGCTAACATCTATACAGGCAGTACGTTATCCATAACGACTGGCATTGCAGCACCTTTGCCTGGTTCAGTTTTTCATTGCATTAGCAAGCTAACGTTAACTAGTTATTCCTATATTCTTCATATTCTCTCGATACATCGCTAGGCCGAACACAAATAGACACAGTGGAGAGAATGAGGTTATTATAACCTGACAATTGTACTTTGCAGTAATGTTTAATTTTTTTATCCAAATGACTTTGTGTAGAAATTTTAAACAGATTATAGCTAGTATAGTAATTGTTTTTTCCTACACAGATTCGTTATTGAAGTGCAAAACGGAGACTCTGGTAAGTAGACTTCCGGTGTGATGTTCAATTTCACCTCACCCTAAACCTGTTCACTCTTTTTTGTGTTGTCTGTGTGAGTAATTAGCTTGGTTCATCTATGTGTGGATCTCATTAATGTGTTTGTTTGTTTTATCTCTTTAGCCTCCAGAGAGGAGAAAGAGGACCGTCGAAGACTTTAACAAGTTCTGCAACTTTGTCTTGGCATATGCAGGCTATATCCCCAATCCTAAAGAGGTAGGTTAACTAGGCACACAATGACATAAGCCCGTTTCGACTGGCACTTAAAATTAGGGCCAAATTCAAGCTGGCTCGAGAGAAACCCGGGCCAGCACAGCCCAGTTTCACAACTGGTGCCAGCTCGATTAGAATTCGGGCTGGTGACGCCATTACTATGCAACCACCAGCTGATCACTGGTGGATGCTGACACCACGTTTAGCTAGTTTGTCTGAGCTTGTTGCTGTTAGCTAGCATATGGACAAGCAGTACTGCAGTAGTCAGACATGACACGAATTACCACCATAGCTGGATCCTTCATTCACTTTTGCACTACACAATAAACTTTTACGACAACAGTCAGCCCTCGAATGCTAGATACCTAACATTGGCTAGCCAATCAGTGGAAACAAGCTAGCTAACGTGAGTTAGCAGGAATTTTAACTGGCCAGGTCTTATTGAAAGCTAGCTATCAAACCTGTCGTCCGGTTTGCTTGGTTAGCTAGCTAATAGCCAATGCCATGGCAAACAAAGTAAGAATATAGCTAGCTAGCCTGTTATGCTAGCAAACGTTAGAAAGCTAAATACATGGCTCTGAGTCTGGCTGGCACTGGCAGGAGTATGGGGTAACCTAAGTTACAGCATGGTGAGGGTGAATTAAATTCTTCAACATCTTGCTAGCTAGCAACATTAGTGAAGCCAGCTGCACAGTCACATATTGGCTACCTAGGAATATGACATTTCTCATTTCTGGAGGCAGTGGAAACTCAATTCGAGCTAGCCCACCAAGGCAAGCCCAACCCGGGTTGACTTCAAAGTGCCAATAAAAACGGGGCTATAGAGTAGCATGGGCAAACCTGTTTTGGTGTTTTTTATGGTATATCAGCACATTTTTGGACTCATTCAGCAGTTTTTACCTGATTTAAGTACAATACCATTGGAAATTAATGTTGAAAGTTCCATTTATATTCCTAAAACATACGTTGAAAATGATGCTGTCGCTGCTTCCTGTTGACAATGCATATTGATAAATAGCCCAATGTCAAAATACAGTTTAAGTGTCCAAATCAATAACCAATATGCAGTAACAGTTTGATGTAATGAAAACCTAAATATAAAATGTACTGTGTCCAAATCAATAACCAATATGCAGTAACAGTTTGATGTAATGAAAACCTAAACATAAAATGTACTGTCTACGGCTCTGTCGTAGCCGGCCGCGACCAGGAGACCCATGGGGCGGCGCACAATTGGCCCAGCGTCGTCCAGGGTAGGGGAGGGAATTGCCGGCAGGGGATGTAGCTCAGTTGGTAGAGCATGGCGTTTGCAACGCCAGGGTTGTGGGTTCGATAAAATAATGTATGTGCTAACTGTAAGTCGCTCTGGATAAGAGCGTCTGCTAAATGACTTAAATGTAAATGTGCAACAACATATCACTTGTTTTTTTTAAACAAACACCTTGTAAACTGCACATGCACCAAAAACCCTGTTTTGACAAGTGGCAATAAATCACTCATCGATTAGGAGGGGGGGGATATGCATTGTTGAAACTACCACTACTCAAAAACCACATGGAAACAACATTTTTTACGTAACTGACCACCTGCAGAACAGTCAACTACATTTTGGAATGTTGCATTTTGATACAAGGGTCACCAAAACCGAAAGAGAAAAGCAACACTGTTTTGTCAATCACTCATTGATTATCACGTTGAAATCAATTCTGTTAAAACTAAAACTGCTAAAAAAACCTAGTGGAATCACTGGTTAGAGGACAATTTGTAGAAGACCGCTAGCTACATTTTAAAGTGTTGCATTTTTATTCAAGTGGGTCGCCAACGCGGTAAGTGTAATGCAACACTTTTTGTTAATCACTTCCATCTATCGCGCTGAAATCAATAGAACGGGGCAAACATTTGGTGTGTAGCGCTGTTTTAAACTAACTATTCAAAGGCCACACGGAAACTTGGAATAACCTAATACATGGTTGGTTAGATGAGAACTTCAAAGTATTCATACCCCTTAACTTATTCCACATTTTGTTGTTACAGCCTGAATTCAAAATTGATTAAATTAAACAAATCTCAACCATCTACACACAATACCCCATAATGACAGTGAATGCATGTTTTTAGAAATGTTTGCAAATGTATTGAAAATGTAAGTCAGAAATGTCTAATTTACATACAGTACCAGTCAAAAGTTTGGACACACCTACTCATTCAAGGGTTTTTCTTTATTTTTACTATTTTCTACATTGTAGAATAATAGTGAAGACATCAAAACTATGAAATAACACATACAGTGGGGAGAACAAGTATTTGATACATTGCCGATTTTGCAGGTTTTCCTACTTACAAAGCATGTAGAGGTCTGTACTTTTTATCATAGGTACACTTCAACTGTGAGAGACGGAATCTAAAAAATCCAGAAAATCACATTGTATGATTTTTAAGTAATTAATTTGCATTTTATTGCATGACATAAGTATTTGATCACCTACCAACCAGTAAGAATTCCAGCTCTCACAGACCTGTTAGTTTTTCTTTAAGAAGCCCTCCTGTTCTCCACTCATTACCTGTATTAACTGCACCTGTTTGAACTCGTTACCTGTATAAAAGACACCTGTCCATACACTCAATCAAACAGACTCCAACCTCTCCACAATGGCCAAGACCAGAGAGCTGTGGAAGGACATAAAGGATACAATTGTAGCCCTGCACAAGGCTGGGATGGGCTACAGGACAATAGGCAAGCAGCTTGGTGAGAAGACAACAACTGTTGGCGCAATTATTAGAAAATGGAAGAAGTTCAAGATGACGGTCAATCACCCTCGGTCTGGGGCTCCATGCAAGATCTCACCTCGTTGGGCATCAATGATCATGAGGAAGGTGAAGGATCAGTCCAGAAATACATAACCTACATTTGTGTTTTATTTTTACATATTGGTAGCTAGAGTCGTTCAAGGAATTCGGGACATGGGTGACTAGTTAACGTTAGTTTTGCTCTCTCTGTGTGTTCGTGCCGTGAAAGGAGGGGTTTCTTCTTTGTCTGAAAGCAATGGATAGCTAGTATGCTAACTATTCTAGCTAACTAACTGGCTGAATAAGTTGACGACGGACTCGCTCAAGCTGTCGGGACTAACACACAACGTTAGACACGGACACGAACGATCTGCTTGGTGTGTTGACACACTGGTGGTTTGTTGTGGCCGAGTATTGGTGCTAAACCATGTTGTTGGAGTCCGGCATGCTAGCTGACTGTGGCGTCTTATGACTAGGTGCCCTGGACGATTTTCACGGAAGAATACTGTACCTAGTTAGCTAGCTGAATAAACTAAGTTAGTCTATTCCTAGAAAACATTGAACCGCTGTAGTTTACAACAATTATAGTTTCTGAGGTGGAAGTTGGGAGAGTTATATTTGGGTGTTGTGGTGAGGGAGGTCCCGCTCTCTCCTTTCCCAGATGTTTAGTTCATTTCATTCCGATCTCCTTTGCATTATTGTAGCCATTTTCTGCAGCCTGTCAACTATGCCTCTGCCTATCCCTGTTCTCTCCTCTCAGCACAGGCTATACAAACGCCTCACACCGCGTGGCTGCTGCCTCTCTAACCTGGTGGTCCCTGCACGCACCACCCACGTGGACTTCCAGGTCTCAGGCAGCCTCTGGAACTGCCGTTCTGCTGCCAACAAGGCAGAGTTCATCTCAGCCTATGCTACCCTCCAGTCCCTCGACTTCTTGGCGCTGACGGAAACATGGATTACCACTGAAAACACTGCTACTCCTACTGCTCTCTCCTCGTCTGACCATGTGTTCTCGCATACCCCGAGAGCATCTGGTCAGCGGGGTGGTGGCACAGGAATCCTCATCTCTCCCAAATGGACATTCTCTATTTTTCCCCTGACCCATCTGTCTATCTCCTCATTTGAATTCCATCACAGTCACTAGCCCATTTAAGCTTAATATCCTTGTCATCTATCGCCCTCCAGGTTCCCTTGGAGAGTTCATCAATGAGCTTGACGCCTTGATAAGTTCCTTTCCTGAGGATGGCTCACCCCTCACAGTTCTGGGGGACTTCAACCTCCCTACGTCTACCCTTGACTCATTTCTCTCTGCCTCCTTCTTTCCACTCCTCTCCTCTTTTGACCTCACCCTCTCACCATCCCCCCCTACTCACAAGGCAGGCAATACGCTTGACCTCATCTTTACTAGATGCTGTTCTTCTACTAATCTCACTGCAACTCCCCTCCATGTCTCCGACCACTACTTTGTATCCTTTTCTCTCTCGCTTTCCTCCAACACTACTCACTCTGCCCCTATTCAGATGGTAATGCACCGTCGCAACCTTCGCTCTCTCTCTCCCGCTACTCTCTCCTCTTCCATCCTATCATCTCTTCCGTCTGCTCAATCCTTCTCCCTCCAATCTCCTGATTCTGCCTCCTCAACCCTCCTCTCCTCCCTTTCTGCATCCTTTGACTCTATGTCCCCTATCCTCCCGGCCGGCTCGGTCCTCCCCTCCAGCTCTGTGGCTTGATGACTCATTGCGAGCTCACAGAACAGGGCTCCGGGCAGCCGAGCGGACTCCCTGTGGACCTGGCATCTTTTCACTCCCTCCTCTCTACATTTTCTTCATCTGTTTCTGCTGCTAAGGCCACTTTCTACCACTCTAAATTCCAAGCATCTGCCTCTAACCCTAGGAAGCTCTTTGCCACCTTCTCCTCCCTGCTGAATCCTCCTCCCCCTCCTCCCTCTCTGTGGATGACTTCGTCAACCATTTTGAAAAGAAGGTTGACGACATCCGATCCTCGTTTGTTAAGTCAAATGACACTTCTGGTCCTGCTCACACTGCCCTACCCTATGCTTTGACTTCTTTCTCCCCTCTCTCTCCAGATAAAATCTTGCGACTTGTGACGGCCGGCCGCCCAACAACCTGCCCGCTTGACCCTATCCCCCCCTCTCTTCTCCAGACCATCTCCGGTGACCTCCTCCCTTACCTCACCTCGCTGATCAACTCATCCTTGACCGCTGGCTATGTCCCTTCCGTCTTCAAGAGAGCGAGAGTTGCACCCCTTCTCAAAAAACCAACACTCGATCCCTCTGATGTCAACAACTACAGACCAGTATCCCTTCTTTCTTTTCTCTCAAACTATTGAGCGTGCCGTCTTTAGCCAACTCTCTTGCTATCTCTCTCAGAATGACGTTCTTGATCCAAACCAGTCAGGTTTCAAGACTGGTCATTCAACTGAGACTGCTCTTCTCTGTGTCACGGAGGCTCTCCGCACTGCTAAAGCTAACTCTCTCCTCTGCTCTTGTCCTTCTAGACCTGTCAGCTGCCTTTGATACTGTGAACCATCAGATCCTCCTCACCACCCTCTCCGAGCTGGGCATCTCCGGCCCGGCTCACTCTTGGATTGCGTCCTACCTGACCGGTCGTTCCTACCAAGTGGCGTGGCGAGAAGCTGTCTCCGCACCACGTGCTCTCACCACTGGTGTCCCCCAGGGCTCAGTTCTAGGCCCTCTCCTATTCTCGCTATACACCAAGTCACTTGGCTCTGTCATATCCTCACATGGCCTCTCCTATCATTGCTACGCAGACGACACACAACTAATCTTCTCCTTTCCCCCTTCTGATAACCAGGTGGCGAATCGCATCTCTGCATGTCTGGCAGACATATCAGTATGGATGACGGATCACCACCTCAAGCTGAACCTTGGCAAGACGGAGCTGCTCTTCCTCCCGGGGAAGGACTGCCCGTTCCATGATCTCGCCATCACGGTTGACAACTCCGTTGTGTCCTCCTCCCAGAGTGCGAAGAGCCTTGGCGTGACCCTGGACAACACCCTGTCGTTCTCCGCTAACATCAAGGCGGTGACCCGATCCTGTAGGTTCATGCTCTACAACATTCGGAGAGTACGACCCTGCCTTACACAGGAAGCGGCACAGGTCCTAATCCAGGCACTTGTCATCTCCCGTCTGGATTACTGCAACTCGCTGTTGGCTGGGCTCCCTGCCTGTGCCATTAAACCCCTACAACTCATCCAGAATGCCGCATCCCGTCTGGTGTTCAACCTTCCCAAGTTCTCTCACGTCACCCCGCTCCTCCGCACACTACACTGGCTTCCAGTTGAGGCTCGCATCTGCTACAAGACCATGGTGCTTGCCTACGGAGCTGTGCGGGGAACGGCACCTCCGTACCTTCAGGCTCTGATCAGTCCCTACACCCAAACGAGGGCATTGCGTTCATCCACCTCTGGCCTGCTGGCTCCCCTACCTCTGCTGAAGCACAGTTCCCGCTCAGCCCAGTCAAAACTGTTCGCTGCTCTGGCACCCCAATGGTGGAACAAGCTCCCTCACGACGCCAGGACAGCGGAGTCACTCACCACCTTCCGGAGACATTTGAAACTCCACCTCTTTAAGGAACACCTGGGATAGGATAAAGTAATCATTCTAACCCCCCCTTACCCCACCCCCCCCAAAAAATAAAAAAAATAAAAAGGTCCCCCTGCTCAAGCCAGCGCATGTCCAGGCCCGTCTGAAGTTTGCCAATGACCATCTGGATGATCCAGAGGAGGAATGGGAGAAGGTCATGTGGTCTGATGAGCTTTTTGGTCTAAACTCCACTCGCCGTGTTTGGAGGAAGAAGGATGAGTACATCCCCAAGAACACCATCCCAACCGTGAAGCATGGAGGTGGAAACAAAATTCTTTGGGGATGCTTTTCTGCAAAGGGGACAAGACGACTGCAGCGTATTGAGGGGAGGATGGATGGGGCCATGTATCGCGAGATCTTGGCCAACAACCTCCTTCCATCAGTAAGAGCATTGAAGATGGGTCGTGGCTGGGTCTTCCAGCATGACAACGACCCGAAACACACAGCCAGGGCAACTAAGGAGTGGCTCCGTAAGAAGCATTTCAAGGTCCTGGAGTGGCCTAGCCAGTCTCCAGACCTGTACCCAATAGAACATCTTTGGAGGGAGCTGAAAGTCCGTATTGCCCAGCGACAGCCCCGAAACCTGAAGGATCTGGAGAAGGTCTGTATGGAGGAGTGGGCCAAAATCCCTGCTGCAGCGTGTGCAAACCTGGTCAAGACCTACAGGAAACGTATGATCTCTGTAATTGCAAACAAAGGTTTCTGTACCAAATATTAAGTTCTGCTTTTCTGATGTATCAAATACTTATGTCATGCAATAAAATGCAAATTAATTACTTAAAAATCATACAATGTGATTTTCTGGATTTTTGTTTTAGATTCCGTCTCGCACAGTTGAAGTGTACCTATGATAAAAATTACAGACCTCTACATGCTTTGTAAGTAGGAAAACCTGCAAAATCGGCAGTGTATCAAATACTTGTTCTCCCCACTGTATGGAATCATGAAGTAACCAAAAAAGTGTTAAACAAATCAAAATATATTTTATATTTGAGATTCTTCAAATAGCCACCCTTTGCCTTGACAGCTTTGCACACTCTTGGCAGCCATTAAACTATGTCGCTGTTTTAAAGTCACCATTGGCCTTATGGTAAAATTCCTGAGCGGTTTCTTTCCTCTCAGGCAACTGAGTTAGGAAGGACGCCTGTATCTTTGTAGGGACTGGGTGTATTGATACACCATCCAAACTGTAAATTAATAACGTCACCATGCTCAAAGGGATATTCAATGTCAGCTTTTTTATTTGTATTTTTTAACCCATCTACCTTTGCGAGGCCCTCGTCTCGTAGTTTAATCCATTTTGAAATTCACTGCTCGACTGAGGGACCTTACAGATAATTGTATATGTGGGGTACAGAGATGAGGTAGTCATTAAAAAATGATGTTAAACAACTTGTGACTTGTTAAGCAAATGTTTACTCCTGAACTTATTTAGGCTTGCCAAAACAAAGGGGTTAAAATACTTATTGACTCATGGCGTTTCAGATTTTCATTTTAAATTAATTTGTAAAAAAAATTCCAATAACATAATTACACTTTGGCATTATGGGTTGTTGTGTGTAGGCCAGTGACCAAAAAATCTCAATTTAATCCATTTTAAATTCAGGCTGTAACACAACAAAATGTGGAAAAAGTCAAGGGGTGTGAATACTTTCTGAAGGTACATTCTTTATTCTTCAGAGTAAGATGTTGGGGGAAGGGGGGTGCTAAACTGACATATGGAATTGTTTTAAGATGGTCATACTATGGATCATTTAGCAATTTGATTTTGAATATTAGGACCCCTTTAACTATAAAATATAGATTTTGGCCTTTACTGCTAAAGCCCATCGAAACACATTGAAAACACATTCAACAGAAGTTTACACATTGATGGTACCGACTTCAGACAAGTCTCCTGACACTTGTGGGGGTCGTAGAGCAAAACGGAGAACACCATCGTGTTCGTGAGAGTCTCCCCTTTCCATAGATTAATAGTAATAACGCTACAGACGTTTATGTGAGATGACCGATTTTTGGGATCTCTCATGGTCTGACGAACACAGCTCTAGCTCTGCCACCTTTCACCGCAGATGCGGAAGTGTGACACTGGCAGATGCGGTGGATTGAGACTAATCCCATGCAAAAAAAACTCTAGCTTAAACAGACATCTTTTTTTTACGTAACATAGATTGACGCACCGGTGCATCAATCAACTCTAGGGGTTTAAATGACATTTACGACCCTATGCATCAAGTATTGATTGTCCTATACGTTTTTTTCCTCATTGTTCTTTCTCTACACCTGTGGCTGTGTAGGAAGGTCCGTGGTCGCCAGCGTCCTCCAGCTCCCCACACAGCTCAGGGGCATCGGGGGAAAGTGGCGGTGGAGGTGGCGGCAGCTCTTTGGGGGCCAGCTGGGGAGACGGCGGCAATGACCTGCACACCATCCACACGTTTGTCCACAAGGCCCGCGCCAACAAGGGCAAGAGCATGCGCCGCATGCACTCGGACAGCTCCCTGCTGGACAAGATGCGTCTGAAAGACTCTTTGTACGACAGCCAGACTGCCAGCAAGGCAGAGCGCAAGAAGGACAAAAAGCTCAAAAAGTTGTCGATGGGTTCCGCTATTGTCGGTGCGGCCGACAGCGGGAGCAGTGGCGGTGAGAAGAGGGCCCGCATCAAGCGCAGCAAAAACCCCAAGCAGCCCAAAGCCCTCAAGAAGCTTAAGAGCTCGGCCACTCAAAGCGAGACAGACTCTGAGACCGGTCACGCCCACCCCGGGGAGCGCTCGGTCCGAGAGGACCTGACAGGGCACAGTGTCTCCTCCCCAGGAATGCAGGGGCTGGCCAAGATGCAGGCAGGAATGGTGTCCAACCGTGAGGCAGAGATGAGTTCGAGTGAAGGCGAGACATGGATAGCCGACGAGGACATCATGGTGGAGTCAGGTAAGCGATTTCATACTGACCACACTGTGGACAAGAAAGCAATTTTTTTTGCTGTAAATGTGGGTGCCCTGTTATTTCCACAAATAAAAGTTGCATCACTTCAGCTTTTCTAAGTGTACGGCTGCTGTTTCCTGGTAATATGCTTTGCTGCTTGGCTTACAATGGATCGATATTAGTGCACTGACCTGTTCCCTGAGGTCTAAACCAGAGGCTCATAGCAGGTTTGCTTTCCTTGGGCATAAATAAGGGAAAATGTGGTATTTAATTTGAATCTGCTTGGTAACAATAGGTACTTTATTGCATTCGTTACGAGTCACTGGGGAATAATTAATGGGTAATAATTATGTAATTCTGGTGTTTCCATGTAGTTCCTTAGTAAACACCAAGTAATTAGGGGGCCATATAAATAAAACCTCCGCAAACAAAACAAACAGTTGAAGAGCCTCTTCTTTTTGAAAACCTTTGCCCCTGTAAGGTGCCCACTGAACCCATCCCTGCTTGTCCCACTATGAGATGCCCCCTCTTACCTCTCTCTTCTCCCTCCTTCACCGCACAGGTGACGACTCTTGGGACTTGATCACCTGTTACTGCGGCAAGCCATTTGCGGGGAGACCCATGATCGAGTGCAACCAGTGCGGAGTGTGGGTCCATCTGTCATGCGCCAAGATCAAGAAGTCCAACGTCCCTGACATATTTTACTGCCACAAGTGCAGGGACACTCGACGGTCTGGGCAAAAGAAAGACCCCTAAAGAGAGAGGGGGTGGGAGGGACTGTATCCCTCCTATATCCCTTTTCAATCTACCCTTTTTTCTGTGTACTACTACAACCAAGTTCTTTTCTGCAATGCCTACAGCTGATTGTTAACCCTCACCTGGACGGCAACTGTATCGTTCGTTTTCTAGGTTTTCTTTTTTGACAATCACCATCCTCACTTATTCATGTAGGTTCTTTGTCACGTTCTGCCTCTGTGAAAACTGTACTAAAACAGGAAGATATTGGGACGAGATCTCTTTATTATCTGTAACATACAAATAGACACTCTTGCTCCGTAGTCTTACTAAATTGAGACTGGCTTACTTTTTTTATTGAAATGTTAAGGCAACCATACAGATATCCATCTCCTGGCTTTCCTATTAATAAGGTCATAGCATAAGGTGCATGACAAGGTATAGAGAATTATTTATTTAGGACATTGATGGGCTGCTTTTCCGTCTGTCAACGTTCAAAGAAAAAAGCTTGTATTTTATAATGGTACATCAACATTTGTCAGACCCTCTGTAACCAGTGTTCAATGCGACTGCCACACCATGGCACAGGCACAACCCTTTTCATTATCTGAAAAGAAAACGGATACTCATGTTTATTTTTGTCCGTAAGTTTCTCTTTTTAGGTCTAAGAGGGCGTCTCTCGTGTTGAGATTTTTTGTTATGTTGAAATTTCTCATGTAAGCTTTTGATTTGGGATTTGTTAATTAGTTTCTGTCTATTACACTCAGTACCCGCTTACCACAGTGTTAAGCCACTGAGATCTCGCTCATTGGATGTTTTCTGATTCAAACAAATACTAGACCAAATCTGAAATATGCACAGACTATTGAGCTACAACAGTGCACTTAAAAAAAAAAAAAAAGTTGAGCCCAAACCAAACACACATTTGTCGTTATTTTTCATTGGAAAGTTAATTCCTTTACAGTTTTGCCAATTGCTAATAGCCTGTAACTTTTAAACTAAGGGATGTGCTGTAAAGTTTTTTGATGCAGCCCATAACCATTAAATATTTTTTGCTTTATTCGCCCTTTTTTTATTTTTTGTCAACTGATGCTGTATAAACTTTGAGGAGTGGGTCAACATTTGCTACATCACCACTTGATCACTTTGAGTTTCCTCCGCATGACAATGGAATCCTATGACTACCTGTTGGTTGCGGTTTGACACGGCGACAGACTTCAAATTCCTCTACAATTCTTGTTCCGTGGTTTTTCGTTTTTATTCACATTTTGTGTGCGTTTTGTTTTTCATTATCGAGAGACTTCTGGTTTGGGAGAATGATGTAATTGTTGTTAACTGTCGTGACGGAAAAAGTTGGAGAGTTGCTTCACCTTGTAGAAGTGGCTTGAACATCTTTTTGCATGAATGGTTGTAAAATATACTTTGTATTATCATTCTTTTTTGGGGGTTTAAAACTTTTCTGAAAACGCTAGTTGAGATTTGCTTCCGAATCAGAGAATAACATACAAATCCCGCCCCCTCATGATTCTCATTCGTGAAACTAAGTTGACTGTTTGTATTGTACAGAAAAATAAGTTGATATCACCAGAGTCGTGGCAGGTCCTTTTATGTTGGTTGGTTTTACCTTGCTTTTTTTGTTGGTGGAAGAGTCATGTTTAGTCCCCAAAAAGCAAATGCACTCTTGCCACCACCCTTCCCTTTGATTCTCTGTAAATACCATGTTCTTCGATAACTGTACATATGTGAAAGTGAAAAGAGAGGAAAAAAAGCCAAGCAAATGTTATATTTTCGGCATCTGGTATTGTTTTTCTTTAACTGTAGCTTGAAAAATTAAAACGTCTTCTTTTTTGGGGAGCACCTGTGTTGTCTACTGTTCTTTCAATGTTTGTGAAGTAGGTAAATATATTATAAGGAATGCATTATATTTAAGTTAGGCACACAGGATGTTTGTCATTGTACATACTTACACAACCACTAGAGGGTGATCAGTCCCTAACATCTAAGCAGGTTAGTACACTAGTACAGCATCTTAAATAGAAATATGAACATATGCCGTCAAACATGTTTGTGGGAATTCATCTTTACAAAACAACCAACTAACCTTTACATTGAATTCTGATTTGGACAGTAAAGTTAGCATTGGATGAGGTTGAAGGAGTTGGAACCAGTTAGTGTTGCTTCTTCATTCAGTTAAATATTCCCAGTAGTCTTCTGGTTCATCCTGCAACACAAATAGATACACATCTATAAATCAGTTCACCAGTAAAGGATGGTCAGTCCTCCCCCTCCCTGTTCTGTACTCTCACCTTTCCGCTCTGCTGGTTGGACATAAAGGCGCTTCCAATAGAATCGAGAGGAATTGTTGCCTTCCTCCTGGAATGACAGGATATTAAATAATTCAGACTGGACTTGTTTGGTAGTTAAAGTGATGCACATTTCACAGCACTGCAAGGCTGTTACACTTACATCAGTGGCTACTCCTTGTCACAATGTTACATCATCGCCCACTCCTCGATTGTCTCACCTCTTGTCCTTGGGTTTGGGGCGGTGGTGGTTGTGATGATGGACGGAGATATGTTCCATGGGGTTAGGGATGTGTTACAGAGGGGCGAGAAAGATGGCAGACTTGGGATGGCGGTCTTCCCAATCCCGGGTTGTCTCCCAGTGGGGAAAGGTAGGTGAGGTCAGAGAGCTCAGACAGGTGTGGGAAGAACTTTTGGTCCAGCCAATTCACATCCTGAGGAGACAGAGGGAGGACATGTTCAATCATACAGCATGCAATAACAATACAGTTCATATAATATTATTGATCTACACTGAGTGTACAAAACATTAGGAACAATCCACTACAATCAGTGTAAATGAAGGGTTTTTAAGCATTGTCACAACTGAGACATGGATTGTTTATGTGTGCCATTCACAGGATGAATGGGTAAGGTTTAAGTGCCTTTGAACGGGGTATGGTAGTAGGTGCTAGGCGAACCGGTTTGAGTGTGTCAAGAACTGCAACGCTGCTGGGTTTTTCCTACTCAACAGTTTCCCGTGTGTATCAAGAATGGTCCACCACCCAAAGGACATCCAGCCAACTTGACACAACTGTGGGAAGCATTGGAGTCGACATGGGCCAGCATCCCTGTGGAATGCTTTCAACACCTTGTAGAGTCCATGCCCCGACGAATTGAGGATGTTCTGAGGCCAAAAGGTGGTCCTAATGTTTTTTTACACTCAGTGTATATTTATTTGAAATCATTTATCTTCATTAAAGTAGATGCACAGTCCCACACAAACAAATGGCAAACATCCATGAAAGCAGTATAAGAACGGCACCAAGATAGTTCCAAGATGCAGTGTCTGAAGGATTTTGGCTGCCACTATCCATGTTCAAACTTTTTCTAAGAAAAGCCACAGAGTGTGCGTAATGAGTGTGTTTCTTACCCTTTTCTGTCTCAGCCTGTCAGGCAGCAGGAAAGCAGACAAGTCTCCCAGCATCAGGTAAAGCTCCAGGACAGGTAATGCACACCTTGACTAAAGCGTCTGTATGGCAGACAGGAAATATTATATTTAGCCATTGATCAACTTCTTATAGAGGATGAGTTTCATTCTATTGTTGACTTGATGAGTTGCTGAACAAGTAACACAATCAAAATATACTTGTCAGCGTCTGGGTGAAACGGAATCAGGCGCAGGACACAGAACTGAGAAAAGTATGGCTTTACTAAACACAAAGTAAACCATATCACACCCTCCACGCAGGGAAGAGCAAAACAACAGCTCAACAGATGACGTAACGACGAACAATCACGCACAAACCCAGGAGGGAAAACAGAGGTAATATAGGGAAACCAATAAGCCTAATGAGTAACAGGTGTGAATAATAAAGACAGGACTAGTGTGACACAGAAACATTGATCGGTGGCAGCTAGTACTCCGGTGACGACGAACGCCGAAGCCTGCCCGAGCAAGGAGGAGGGGCAGCCTCGGCTGTATCCGTGACAGTAGCCCCCCCCCCCCCCCGACACGCGGCTCCAGCCGTGCGTCGACACCGGCCTCGGAGATGGCCAGGAGGACGCGGAGCAGGGCGAGTCGGATGGCGATGGAACTCCCTTAACAAGGAGGGATCGAGGATGTCCCTCCTGGGAACCCAGCTCCGTTCCTCTGGACCGTACCCCTCCCACTCCACGAGATACTGCAGGCCTCTAACCCAACGCCTCGAATCTAGGATGGAACGGACCGAGTACGCCGGTGCCCCCTCAATGTCCAATGGGGGCGGAGGAACCTCCAGCACCTCAGACTCCTGGAGCGGACCAGCTACCACCGGCCTGAGGAGAGACACATGGAACGAGGGGTTAATACGGTAATCAGGGGGAAGCTGTAACCTATAACAAACCTTGTTCAACCTCCTCAGGACTTTAAAGGGCCCCACAAACCGCCGACCCAGCTTCCGGCAGGGCAGGCGAAGGGGCAGGTTTCGGTTCGAGAGCCAGACCCGGTCCCCCGGTGCATACACCGGAGCCTCACTGCGGTGGCAGTCGGCACTCGCCTTCTGTCTCCTAATAGCCCTTTGCAGGCGTACATGGGCAGCGTTCCATGTCTCCTCCGAGCGCCGAAACCATTCATCCACCGCAGGTGCCTCGATCTGGCTCTGATGCCACGGTGCCAGGACCGGCTGGTAACCTAGTACACACTGAAAGGGAGACAGGTCAGTGGAGGAGTGGCGGAGGGAATTTTGTGCCATCTCTGCCCAGGGGATGTAAACTGACCAATCCCCCTGCCGGTCCTGGCAATACGACCTCAGAAACCTACCCACATCTTGGTTTACTCTCTCCACCTGCCCATTACTCTCGGGGTGAAACCCTGAGGTCAGGCTGACCGAGATGGTCCATAAATGCCTTCCAGACCCTCGATGTAAACTGGGGACCCCGATCAGACGCTATATCCTCAGGTACCCTGTAGTGCCGGAAGACGTGTGTAAACAGGGCCTCTGCGGTCTGTAGGGCAGTAGGGAGACCGGGCAAAGGAAT